GGGCTCTTCCTACTCTACTTGGGCCAAGGAAGGAACTTCAGTGTGAGAGGGACGAGGTTCCCATACAGGGACCTCAACTTCTCAACAAGATTCACAGTTGGGCTTTCATTTTGGTCCCACCAAGCTGAGTGGGAAAGCAATTGTCAATCTAGTATCTTCTTTCCATATTCCAAATGACTTCAACTATATTATGCCTGACTTGTATCAAATTCCCTGGAGTCATAGCCAATCTAAGGCCTGTGTCTTTGAGGAGGCATTGGTCACCGGCCTCCAATTTCCTTTGCACCCTTTTTTTGTTGACGTGCTCTCACACGATGGCATCAACTTGGGGCAACTCCACCCGAACTCCATTTAGACCATTGTGGGGATCATCTCTCTCTTAGTTACCATCTTGATTTCCCTTTGGATATTGACATCTTCTCAAAGCTATGACATATAAAAAGAGTTCCCAATGAGCCCTATTACCGGTGTGGATATAAACTTCTAGGGGGCTTCCGAACAAAGTTGAGGCATTGGAAGAATAGGTACTTCTTCATCTCTCGAGACATCGGTTGGCCCACGGACACCATTTGGCAACATGAGATGAGAAAGGTTTCTAACATTGAGTTCGATGAAGAGTTATGTTGTGAGGTTCAGCACTTTATACGTCGGTGGTTAATGATAGATCAGTTCTTAATCAAGCCTATGCTTGTTCGGGCTGGCTTGAGTCCTATAGGTAGGTTGGCTTGGTTGTTGCTTGTTGAAGGATATTCTTTGAATTGGCTCACTTATGTTTTCTTGCATGTTTCCTCAGAGATGGAAAGTATTGTTTCCCTTTTGGCAGCTGCTAAGAGGCCCTTGAACAAGAAGAGGAGGGTAACAGATTCTTCGATTTGGTCATCGATGGAGGGTTCATCGGTCGATGCTGAGGTTAGGCCTATTGAGAATATGCTCGAGGTGGTCGGGTTCGACCATCTTCAATTTGTAGAGCTTGCCCAGGTCTTCTTGGGTTCAACCATCTCATCATCCCAAGTTTCCTCGGATGAATGCACCGCTAGCCCTTTGAACTCTGAAATACCTCGATTTTTCCTCAACATTGACGTCTCAATTACTGACTACCTTATCGATCCTCTCATAGCTCTACAGAGGGGGAGGGGATCCTCCTTCCTGAAGACCTCTAATACTACAATGGTCTTGACCCCGTCGACATCAGCACAAGAATGACTCAATGCATTCTATAGGTATGTAGTCGTTGTTTCTGATGTTTGCTCCTATCTTATTCGAGCTTTACTACCCTTGTTTTAGTTGCTCGCAGACAAACTCTATGGGCCATGTCTTGTTGAATTAGGTTGACATGTCGAAGTGCAAGAAGTAGGAGATGCAAGAGGATATAGAGGCCCTATAGGCTCAACTAGAGGGAGCCCGCCTGAGCGGTAAGGTAGCTCACCACAGCACGGAGGAGGATCATAAGTGCTTTTGTGACCTCGGTACCAGTATACAACACGAGCTGGAGGAGGCTAAAGAGACTATGACCACCCTGACTGACGAGGTGCAAACGTAGGAACGTTAGCTAGAAGAGTAGTGGACTAAGAATAGTGGAGACATCCATCGTGTTGAGGTTGCTGCAGTCAAGCATTTCGTTTGTTGTCGCAATTTGAACAAGAGAAGGTCGGGTTCGTAGTTCCCTCTATGAAGAGGGGATTTAAAATATGTCATTGCTTCCTCAAGTCCTTGCATCCCAACTTGACTTCAGCCCTATATCGATTAGATTAGTACCGAATGAATTGGTTGTGCAGGTTGACAAGGAGACTCGACTTTGAAGGAAGAGTCTAGCGAGGGCGGTGATGGGGCGGAAGATGAGGACGCGGGGGAGGTCAGCAATGGTCAAAAGGGCGATGAGGAAGAGTAGCTACTAATTAGGAGGGTTTCTATTCTTGTCTTTTGGAAGTTCCTATGCTTCGAGCATGTGCTTCATTAACAGAATTTTTTTAGGCCCGAGCCCGAACCTGGCCTGACCAATGGGCCTACAACTTGGGCTTGAGCCCAACCCTCATAAAAAGCCCGAAGCCCGAGTTCATCGGTGCCTGAGTTTGCCTAAGAGAGTGAGAACAGTGCCTGAGTTCGTTAGTTCCTAAGAGTCTAAGAGTGAGAATGAGAACTAAGAAGATAGAACGATGCAAAGAGGGAAATGGGAACGGTGGGAAAACTTAACGAGAGAGAGAGAGAGAGAGGACTCATCATTGGAGAGGGAGATGGCCTAGTTTATTGGTGGCACCAGTGCCTGAGTCTACCAGTGCTTGAGTTCGCCTTTGAGAGTGAGAATGGTGCCTGAGTTCGCCGGTTCCTGAGAGTCTGAGAGTGAGAATGAGAACTGAGAAGATAGAATGATGCCAAGAGGGAAATGGGAAAGGCGAGCAAACTTAACGAGAGAGAGAGAGGACTCACCGCTGGAGAGAGAAACGACCTAGTTCACTGTTAGTGCTGGTGCCTGAGTTCGCCTCTGAGAGTGAGAATGGTGCTTGAGTTCGTCGCTAGTTCCTGAGAGTCTGAGAGTGAGGAGAACTGAGAAGATGGAAGATGAAAAGAGGGAAATGGGAAAGGGTTAGTCGGCTAGGAATTTAGGGTTTAGAAGAAACTATAGAAAGTTGGGCCAAGCTAGGCTCAGGGCTGAGCTTTTTTTGACAAGTCCCAAGCCTGGCCGGAAAAATAGTCGAGTCGGGCTTGGCTGGCCCCTTGGGCTACTCGACCCATGAACAGGTCATCATCCTTCTCGACCCAACTCCTCTTTGTATTTTTGACTTTTTGAAGGTGTTGTCAGCTTGATAAAATAAGAGGGAGAAGAGGATGTTGAAATGGTAGGGATAATTTCACTTCAAATGCTTCAAACAAAAGACTATGCACTTTATCTCGATCATTGTTCTCAACTTCGGGCAGAGATAATTTCACTTTCAGTAGAGGACGCTAGCAAATTGTTGATGAATCTATTAAAGTGGCTTCTAAAGAGGCTATTAATACAATTAGAACTATTTTTCAAGTGCATGTAGGTGATTCAAACTATGATGAGTACAAGTGTTATTGTTTGAGATGCGAGAAATTGCAATTGGTTCAGCGGTTGATAGCCAAGAACTTTGAATTGAAGCTGTAGATAGCGAGGTTAAGGGATGCTTTTGAGCCTACTATTGGTAGAATTTTTTTTTTTTTTTTTGTAAACTATCAGGGTGCTTGGTATGGCTTTCATTTATTTGATAAACGGTGTCATGTCATCATTAAATTAGTATTTATTCCATCATACTATTTCGTACACATATTTGTTGATAAATTTTTGTCTTGACTTACATGCAAGCCAACCGTTTGGGGAAGATTCTTTTTAACTCTTCCCCCAATGCAAAAACTTTTATTTATTGTTCCACTGATGTGGCGCCTAGTGATGTTTAGTTGTCAGTAAATCCTAGAAAAACATTTATCAACCATTTTCTCTCCATTTTATAAACAAAACAAATACAAACATTTATTTAATAAACAAAAGCCATACCAAACATATCTAAATTTGAGTAATTCAATTTTATTGTTGTATTTTATTCATTAACATTTACATTTTTTTTCTTCCCATAATAACTCCATTTGCATCTCTCTTCATTATATTGAATTGGATATTACTATTTTATTTATCCATTTTTCCCCTAATCCCTTTTTCTTTTCACACGAGCCCCTCGCTACTATAGCTACCAAGTTACTTAGTTGTCATCCTTGAAAGTTGTGTCCCCACTTTATAAGTAATTTTTCATTTATTTTATTTTTTTTACTGCAGTTTTAAGATGTCAACTGTCAACGAACCGGTTTTGAATTGGACCCCGTCCCAACCAAAATCAATTTGGACGAATTCAAATACTTTTAAACAATTATAGGAAGCCTCAGGAATACTCGATGGGAAAATTGGGAATGGAATATTGCAAACTGATATATAAAGTCGAACTTTCCCTGACTAACCAATGCACAGATCACATCAAAATGATTAACTGGCCACTTTTGGGATCTCAATTTCAGCGTCATGACTTCTGGACCGGAAAATTCGAACTCCCAGTCAAGCTGGCCGGGCTACTTACAGCTGTTGGGGAGAGGCGGGCCACACAAACACCGGTTATGGAGAAACGGGTATTCACCTTGATCCTGCATCTTTCCACCGAACGGAATCTTTCCGCAGAGCCGGTTATTGCTGAAGTCCATCACCAGTATCGAATCCAACTCCGTTATCTGCTTCGGAATGCTTCCTCGGATCCTGTTATGTGACAAATCCAAGAACGTCAAGTTCAATGGAAACCCCACTTTTGACAGATCAAAATCGAGCCGGTTCCTCGACAAATTGATCCACGTTGTTGCTGCGTCGGCTCTAAGAAACATGGATGCATCCCCAACGAACTTGTTATTGAGCAGAATAATCGAGTCGAGATTCAACTTGCCTAGCGACTTGGGAATCTTGCCCGAGAGTTTGTTTCCTTGCAGTTGAAGACTTACCAATTTGTTGAGGTTTGCAAGGGAAGCCGGGATCGGACCGTAGAGTTGGTTGACGGAGAGAATGAGATACTGTAGGCTTTTGACTTGGCCGAGGAATTGAGGGATGCGGGTCGATAGAGTGGTCTCGCTGATAGTGAGACGTCTGAGGTGTTGAAGCTTGGTAATGGAGTAGGGGATTGAACCGGTGAGGTTCATATTGTTTAAGACGAGGGTATCGAGGTAGGGGAGGTCGCCGATGGCTGCTGGTATTTCGCCGGAGATGCTAGCTCGATTGATGGAGACCTGGGTAACGCGATTGGTGTTGGGGTCGCACTCAATGTAGGTCCAGTTACAGCAGTCGGTGTTGGGAATCCAGGAAGCGAGGTCGCTGGGATTGTTCAGGGATTTCTTGAATGCTAGGAGAGCATATTTGTCATGTGGGTTGCAGCGAACGGTGGCTGAGAGAGTGAGAGATGGGAGAGAAGATGAAATGAGGAAGAGGAGGAGAAAGTGGAAAAGAGAATTTGACGAGGCACTATTGCGAAGTTCCATATTCAATTCTCCTCTGTGGATGGAATGAGACTATTCCAGTTTGGATCTGAGATACATGGAAGGGATCAGTCATTAATTTATGGAGGTAGTGACGGGAATTCATTGGTTTTGACTTGCTCTCTGCCACTCTGTATGCTTGGATTCATGTCGTGTTTAAGTATGAAAAAGAGGCAGCCTCTGTATCTTTCAACAATTTCGGCCTTTTCTCATCCATCCACAGATAGAAATTGAATGTCTATAGTCGAGATGGGAGACCACCAGATGCTTGATTTTTATTTTAATAAATAAAATAAAAATCTGCTTGTCTGTGTGCTTCCCTTCAAAACTGGATTGCAACTTGCCATTGCAACTTGCTATCTTTCAGGGATCTTTTCTACTACTGCCATTGCAACTTGCTATTAGTTTCTACATTATATAAGTAGGTCATGGTCCACTGCCCCATGTAATAATTAAATAGCATATTCTCCTTAATAGTGGTGTGCAATAGATTGAATTCTTTCTTACACAAACAGGATTAAATTATGGATACATATGTGTATTGAAATGGTTGATATTCTTTCTTTAGAGGGTTTTACATGAAGTGTGAGATCGTTTATAATTTTATAAAGGATGTATTATATCGATATTTTAATATAGGCCTTTGTATTAAGGGTGTTTGGTAAGGTTGAAACTTTGATCGAGCAATTTCAACTGAACCATGTTCAACAATGAAGCTACCAAAAGATGTTATTGGAAAGTTATTTTTTAGCTGAATGACAATATCTTTGGGCTTTTTGAATAATTTTCCACTAAAGAGATTACTTAGGCTGCCTATCCTCTGAGTACCCACCGCACAGAATCAAAATCTGCCACTTGTAAAATTTATATCTATACTTATATGCTATATACTATACATGCAACATACATACATACATACATACATACATACATACATACATACATACATACATACACACATATACATGCATATATATATATATGTGAATGCACTGTGAAATTTTGTTTGGACTAAAATTATCCTCTACTTCTTTGTTTGAGAAAGGGTATGAAAGTCATTTTATTACATCTTTAATGTCATTTTTTATGGCTACTAAAATGCCCATAATTATGTATTTAGTCCATCTCTAATGGTAAGGTTGAAAATGTAACTTCAATTATTACTTTCCATATCATTTAATCCCTTCTCATTAAGTCTTATACTTGAATTATTAACTCCCATTTTATCTTATTAAATTTTTTTGATGTTTTTTCTCTTATTAAGTATGTGTTTGGTTTCGTTTACGTTTATTGAGTAAACACTGCCACACAGGCACCCCGTTAGCAAATGCCTCATTAAAAGCAAACAACAATTTCTGTGCGTCTCTCCCGTTTCAAGAAGCTTCATTTTGGAGCTTCCTAAAATGGTTAGGCGTTTATTGGCACTTTGCTGATGTGGTGCCTAATGGCATCTGTGTCATAAACACCCTCATTAATTGCTTTTCTCGGTTTTGCAACCACACAAGTATAAAATGTTTACTCAATAAACGTAAACAGAACCAAACACCCTCTAAATTAGATTTGTGTCAATATTTTTAACAATATAAACCCATATATTTTAAAATTGACTCAAAAACAAAACCAATTTTAATCTAAGTGGTGACTAAACAATTCAACCATTCGAACCAAATTGATCAACCTACGAAGTCACAGTTAGGTAATAAAGTTTTTAAAATAGAAATAAATATAGAAACTTACAAAAAATGTAAAAAAATTAGACACATTTATGATATTTTTATTACTCAAATTAAAAAAATAAGTGCAATAAACAACAATTATTTTTATTAGTAATGAAAATGAAATACATAATTTAGAACTGACCAAAAATGAAATTATTTTACAATTTGGAAAAGACCAATAGTTCAAATTTTGGGTCAAACATGTTAACCTTTAATGTCATGAATAAATAATAAATTTAATAATATATAAAAATATAAAAATGAAAAAATACACAAATTTTGCAAAAAAAAAACATTTAGTCACATGTATAATATCATATATTTATTATATTAAACAAAAAAATAAGTGTGACATATTAGAATTATTTTTACACACAAAAATACAAAATAGTTATAGAAAAATTGAACACATCTATAATTATATATTTACACTACATTAAAAATATGAATAAGATTTGTGGAACTTTCTTCTGACTAAAATACTTATTTTTGAATTTAGTCTATACTTAACTATAACGTTTAAAGTGTAAATTAAACTACTACTTTTCATCCCATTCAATTCCCTCTATTTAAATCTTACATTTTTTGATAAATGAACAAAAAATAAAAAGATATACCAAAAGACTAAATATAACAAAAAGAAGAATCTAGCCAAACAAGTAGGCCTATCAATGATACTTGAAACTTCACAACTCGGTCCAATTATCACATGTTTGGATGAGGTGCTTTGTAATCAGATGTAGATTTTTAATCCATATCCGATTAATAATAATAAAAAATAAAATATACATAAAGTTCATAGAAAATTTTGGATAAAAAATTTTTATCATTATCATCATCTAGAATGACCACGTGCAAAGCACGTGCTCACTTACTAGTATTATTAAAAGTGCAAAAGAGAGTGAAATTTTTATTCAACTAAAATTCCCACACTACAAGAAAACTGACCTACAACGGCGGATCTATTCGTCGCTACAACATCTGATATACACCGCTATAGGAGTGTAACGGGATATTAGTGGCGGTTACACTTCCGTTGCTACAAGTCGCGTCGGTAAAGTAAATTGTGGCGCATAGAACATCCATCGCTAAATCCCTATAATTTAGTGGTGCAAATGCAACAATTAACGGCGAAAATATGTGTCTCTAAAAATATAACATTCATTGTCAGATTAATCAATAGCGGCAAATAATCCACCACTATATATCAAAATCATGACATATGTATATGATATAATGGTGTTTATAACCAGCACCAAAAGTAATATTTCATCAGTATAAAACATATAACGGCGGATATAACCGCCGCTATAACCAAATCTGTGGCATATATATTACATATAGCAACAATTGTATTCATCGCTATAAATTAATTAGTGGCATATCTATAGTGGTTATATTTGCCGCTATAAATTAATTTGTGGCGTATATTGTATATATAGCGGCAGATATAACCACTGTTATAAACCATTTTGTTTCGTATATTTTATGTATAATGGTGGTTATATCTGCTACTATAAAAATTAATATATTTATAACGACAGATATAGGTGATGTATAGTGGCGATTATAACCGCCACTGTATTAATTTGTACAAATTAATTTAAATAATAATAACTTTGTAAGTTGTCAAACCTGTACTACCTGTTGATGCAAAATATCATATTTTTGTATTTGTAACTTTAAACTACAAGTAATTCAATAATAAAATATAATATATCCATATATATATATATATATCCAAATTTTAAAGTTTCTATCCATCCATCATAATAAATGTATAATAACTGATTGTTTTGTTACATATCAAACCAAAAAAATGTAAAAGCTATGACTTCTTCAAATCATGCTCCCATCTGCCTATTGTTGTGTCTTGCTTACATATTCAACCTGAGAAAAAAAAAATTAAAAAATTAAAAATTAAGGCCATGTATATTAAATTGCATATAAGACATGCCTTATTTATACCTCTATGGGATTCATGGGTCTATTGTTTTGAAGTGGGGTGCTCAAAATTGATGGAGCAAAAGCTGTATAATAATATCAAGTTTAAAACAACAATGTTAAATTTCAAAAACATAGTCATAAACTAGTTTGTATATGTTTCATTTACTTACCTCAAGGGTTGCAGCTAAGTGACTTGTCGTTGAGGAATAATGTTCTCGAGGAGAACGTGCAACTGCATTTTGGTTGGTAGGATTAATAGATGTATTCATTGAAACCAAAGTTTCCACTGTTTGCTCTAAGGGTGCAACCTTTTCTTTATATTCATCGAGTTCCTTATTTCATTCCCATTCTCTTTTTGAGCAACATCATCCACCTATCGACTTTGAGACTGTTTAGGTATTATATCAACCTAGCACATTAAAACAAAATTAAACAATTTTCAGAATGTAAAATAGGAAGAATAATAGAATTTTTTGAAAACAATTTCAAGTCTAGAAAAATTAATCAGAATAGCCAGCCAATTGTATGATTGGGTCATGGGCAACTCAGTTCAGTGCTCTTGGAGTCCAATTTTTTCCTAGATCACAATAGTTGATCTAGTACTGGAAATGGGTATCATAGGTAAAAGAAAACAAAAAGATTATAAGGATACTAAGGCCAAGCTGTGCTTGATGGACTCTAGGTTATTGCAAGGACTTAGAGTTCAAGAATTTGCTTGTAGAAGTGGATTCACAAACAAAGGTTGGTTGAAAGGAGAGCAGCAAAGGCTGGTGTACAAAAGATAAACGGATATAAACTTAAGTACTTAACCTGCATATATTAATTGTACGTTTTTCTTTTAAAAAAACACAAACCAGCTAATCATCAAAAAATAAGAACAATGCTGAATTTTTATAAAAGTATTAGCCAACAAACAAAAAATTTAAGATAGCATAAGCTTCTCTATATTTTAAACCAATTTATACTAAGTCAATACATTAAGGGCCATTTGATTTAACAACAGCTGAAGTGGTTAAACTGAATTACTTATTGTTTTGTCTTTTAGTGAATAAGTTTAAGCTAACCATCAATATTAATCAAATAAGCTTCTAATCAATTACCACGAAAAGAAGAAAAAAATTAATATGAAGATATATTAAGCAAGATCAAATAACAAATACAAAAACCCAGAATTAAATTTATATCTCCATATAACGAAATGCAAGATAAAGATACATTAAGCAAGATTAAATCTCATGTTTGAAAATATCATTCAAAAGAAAGCCAAAGAACTATGCAAATTACTCAGCTTACAAACTCAGCATGAACTGGATTTACTTTACAACAATTGACAAATTACTCAGATCTAAGAGCAATATAAACATAGAGAATACGGAGGGTCAAGTAAGAATTGCAGAAATCAGATTCAGTTCTGAAGCAATCTACGGAAACCAACGTAAACACTATACTAAGCACCTTAGAATACGGAGGGTCAAGAAACCTTGCTTAAATGATTCAAATGGTCACTCTTCCGTTGCCCTGTTCGGTTTCAATGATTACTGATGGAGAGTGATTTAGCCCGACCTCGTAGCACA